CACCTGATCTGCAGGGCCAGCCGATAAGGGGTGCTAGTCCAGGATTCGCCCTCGACGCGTCGGCCGTCCGGCAGGGAAACCAAGATCGGGCGCTTCTCCCGGCGGGCCCGCTTGGCTTGGCGCTCGTCCGCGGCGGCTTTGAGCCTCTCGTAAAAGGCGAGGCGCTCGGCGACTTCGGAGGGCAGAGCTCCCGTCTGAGGAGGGCACCGGGGAGGAGAGGAAGAGGAAGAGGAAGAGGAAGAGGAAGGGGAAGAGGCGCAGGCTGAAACGAGAAGCGAGCCCCCCGCCTCCCACCCACACCCCGGGAATATCCCTTACAGAGGACCGGACAGGAGGGTCTTCGGCCGAGGGGCGTTTGGGGATCGTGCTGCCCTCGCCCCAAACGCTGGAGGGCCCCCTTCTGGCAATCGGATCCGCTGCAGCCAACTGAATCACCCAATGCGTTTTGAACAGAGAGCCCCCACCCCCAAAGAACCCCACTGAAAAACTCCAAGAAGGGGGGAGGGGGGAGGCGCCTCGGGAAGCACCCTCGTCCCGGGCCGCAGGGCTGCCCGCTGCAGCGTCTGATCGCGTCGCCCGGGACGGGGCTTGTGGCAACCTGCCCCCCCCGCCGGGACCCCCGCCACGCGCTCGGGGAGACCCCAGAGCAAGACCAGGCAGGCGCGCCGCCGCCTCCTTCCAGCCTCCGAAGCCAGCGCGGGCGGCTGGAAGGCCCCGCGGGGAGCAGCGCTTGAGCGTCCAGCCAGCCCAGAGGTCAAGCCTCGCCGGTTGGACGCCTGCCTGCCTGCCGCCCCCTACAAAGAGCAGGTGGGGGGCAGCAGCGACCCGAGAGCCGCGCTGTCGCGGGGAGAGGCGCAGAAGGCCGCCCTGCCCCCACCGAAGCCATCACCCAAAAGAAGAGAAAAGCAACCGTGAAAGGCAGCAGACCGTGTACTCTCTGCGGAGGCCGCTCCTCCTCGCCCAGGTCCTCCTCCAGAGCCGAAGGAACCGCATCTCCCGGGAAACCCGCTTCAGGTCCTGCGTTCCCACGTGCAGAGGCTGCGGGTCCCGGCTGCAACCCTCTTCCCGGGGCGGGGCGGACGCGCGACGGCGAGTGGGCGTGGCCGTGCCTGTGCAAAGAGGAAGAGAACGCGGATGAGTC